TAATCGGTTGGTGCAAGGCCAACTGAATATGGCTGGATGAGAAAGAACAGCCAAGAGGCACGTGTCTTGAGAGACTATCGGGTCTTAAACTTACACAAGTGGGACTCGTACATAGCCATCGCTGGATGCAGGTAAAATGGTTGCCCCACCCTGCAGCCAAAAACAAAACCATGAAAGTATAAATATCATTTTTATAGTAAAAATACCAGTAATACATTTTTACACTCTTGTGAAAATTAATTGAAAGAAAAAAAAATTCCGTTATTATTTACCGCTTTTTCGTATTTTCTAATGAAACATGGCCCAGCGCACATGTTAGTAGTTCATATGTTAATTCCACAAAGTCGTTCCTTGTAGACTGACAACAGATTCTTGATTGGGTTTAAATCAGGAGAGTTTCACCAGTCTTTGATTGGCTTACTGGTAAGTCTTGCCAGTAATGGTCTTGTAGCGATTTTTCATACATTTCCTTGGAGTAACTTCCATCGCAGCCAATGTCCGTAGAACAACTAATCGACAGTCGAGTCAATAGTATCTGGATGTGATAAAAATCTGATACAATCATGGATAACGCAATATTTTTCCAGGCCAAAACAAATTTCATCATACTCCCCGAAAATAGATTCATTATACTGCACACCACCTGCAATGACCTAATCTGAGAAAAAAAAAAAACAAATCGATTACTTGTCACTCCAGTGGGCCTAAAACTGACCGTATGCTGAAAGAAGCGAAACTAAAGCAGTTGCTTGATTAATTTTGCACAAGGTGTATATATATATATATATATATATATATATATATATATATATATATATATATAAACAATAGAAAATGACCAACCCTACAATTTCTTAAAGAAATCAAAATAAAATTTCAAAATATAACTTCAATGTACAACTCCAGTAAGTGCCTGACTCCATATGACATCCCTACCTTTTTAAAAAAGCGAGATCAGGCCAAAATTGAGTATTATCGTCATATTTGGGTGGGAGTTACCCAGACTGCACTTTCTAGCCTCAATAGAGCCCAAAAGCGTCTCCGAGTCTTTGTGGGGGACGAATTATTTTCAACTTCCAATCTCTCTCTCACAGGCGAGATGTAGCAAACCCATCCCTGCTTTACCGCTACTTCCACCGAAGTGCTCGGACGAACCACATTCCTTGGCTCTGCCAGTTCAAACCTTTATGGCGATGACACGCCATGTCACTTACTTAGTAGATTACATTCATCGAAATTTTCCTGGCCTTTGGAACGCACCGCACGAGAGCTATGACGATATTTCGCAAAAAATATCCGCGTTTTAAATCCTGACATTTTCCGCTGAGTATTTCTGTATAACAAAAGAGAAAAAGATTTCACCCATTTTACATAGATAACGCTCTTAGGACTGTATGACTCGTGGGTACATGTTTTTTTTTGCAATGTTTTAAAGGCATGATCTTCCAGGAATCCCTTCAATGTGTCTATCAGAACTTTTTCAATCAATCCGAGTGCTCCAACTACAACTGGAATTACTGATGTCCTCATGTGGCACATTTTTGGGATTTCGATTTCAAGGTCCTTGTACTTTGGTAGTTTTTGATGATCTTCATAGGTACATTACAGTCAGCAAGGACTGCCATGTCGATAAAAAAGCACATTCTGTTTTTGTGGTTTTTGATCACGATGTCTGGGCGATTAAATTTCTTCTGTCTGTGCGTATTGTAAAGTCCTATTATTATTATTATTATTATTATTATTATTAATATTATTAGTACTATTAGTACAATTATAACGTACTATTGATTAAGTACTATTGATTAAGTACTCCAAATTACGAATTTAAATTTAATATTTTTTTTACATTTTAACATAAAAGAATATTTGTTATGGCTGGCGTAGTGTGATTTTTAGATTTCTATTTGAAGGTCCTTGTATTTTGATAGTTTTGAAGATCTTCAAAGATACATGACAATCTGCAATTAGCTTTGATTGTCCTGTCTGTGTGTATTGTAAAGTCCCATAAAATTGTTATTAGGTAATACTTCCATTCATTACTTTTTGGTGCTTTTAATAAAAATTAAATATTATTAAATGAATCTATAGAACATAGGATTAGCAACAACTCATCTGACAAAAATGTGTTTGATAAATACAGCGGTGTTTATAATACTGCTTTAAAAAATAGTGGTTACAAGTGCGCTGAAATCAAGTCTAGAAAATATGATAGTGGTCCAAAGAAAAGAAATAGAAATAGGAAAATTATTTAGTACACTCCCATTTAATCAATTAGTCAATACTAAATTAGGCCAGAAATTTCTCTAAAAGTAACCCTTTTAGTAAAATATTTAACAGAAACACACTAAAACTAAGTTATAGCTGCACCAATAATCTTGAGAAGATTATACAGAAACATAATAATAAAATTTTAAACCAATTTAAAAATTTGGATGATAATGCACATCTGAAGATAAATACTTTTAATAATATTAACCAATGTAATTGCAAGAATTTTAACCAGTTCCTATTACGAAACAAATTTTTAATCAACTCTCTTGTTTATCTAAGTACTATTTCTATGACTGTTGAAAAATTTTATATTGGTAGTACTAAGAATTCTTTTAAGAATTCTTTTAAGACTAGGTGGTGTCAACATATCTTATTCTTCACCTATAATAGTTATAAAATAGTACATCTCTTTCTAAATATTTTTGTAACTTAAAAGAAGCTAATAAAACTCCTAAAGTAAAATGGAAAATTTTCAAAAAGCTCGAACATGTACATCATTAAATGAACCCTGTTTTCTATGCTTACATGAAAAATGAGAAATTATCAGATTTTCTGAGAAAAAAAACTCCTTATTAAACAAAGGTGAATCCAAACAAAGTGGGTTAATTTGAAATTTGAACAAATAAAGTGTAACTGCAACTCCATGTCCCTTAAATGGTAATTTTACAAAACAACGTAATATACTACAATAAAATCACCAAATAATGAAAAAAAAGCATAAGGAGTAATTGAAGGACCACAAACAAAGAAATTATGCACACAAAACATCTTTCACAAATAGTAAATACGAACAGCACAATGATTTTTAAGTATATCTGAAATTAAAAACAAAAACGCTTATCACGCCAAAATATCTTGGAAAATAAGTAAAGATCATCAAAAAACCTACAACAATAAACAAAAAAAACTTTGCTTGGAGGAAAAATAGCTATCATTACCTTCCCAACCAAAATAAATTATTAAATAAACGATCCAAGCTCATCTCAAAATGCAGACATGAAAACAAATTTTAACGTTATTAAAAATCGAAAACTAATAAAATAAAATAAATAAATAAATAAAGAAAAATGACAATAAAATAAGTAAAATAAATTAACCCAAACAAATTACCAATCACACCTGTTAGAATAGACGAAATAAATAAATAAATAAAAAAACAAAATCAAAACTCAAACAAATAAACAAATAAAAAAAATTAACAAAAACGTTTTGACCAAAATATTAGTTAGACTATAAAAAATTAACCCAAGAATCGGACGAAAAACATAGCTATAACTGTTATATAACGATAAAAAAAAGAAAATAAGACGTTACTTAAAAATCGAAAACCGAAAAGAGTAAGTATAAATATACAGTATAATAAATAAGTAATGAAAAAACAAGTAAAATAAATTAATCTAAATTAATCCAAATAAATAAATAAACAAACAAACCTATCCCAATAAATTAACCGCCATAAAAAAACAAATAAAGGTAATCAATCCAAATAAATAAATGAAGTAATAAACAAATTAATAATTAGAATAAAACAGCTTTAATTATTTTCCCAAACCAAAACAAAAGTATTAAATAAGCGATATAAACAAATTTTTCTACGTTAATAAAACACTGATTAAAATAAAAATATATATATATATATATAAAATAAGAAATAAAAATAAAAAATAAAAATAAATAAAAACCAGCAAAATAATTTAACCCAAATATATAAATAAATAAATAAATAAATAAACAACTTCCGCCAAAATAGACTACAATGCACCACTGACCCGGATTTATAAATATCCGAAAAAAAAAGCAACACTCGTGGCGTGACGATTGCATCTAGCATGAAACAGCCTCTAAGTGTTGACTTCAATATTCACTTTTATATTTACACACGCTCTATCTCTGATATTGAGCGCTTTATCCCATAAATATAGCACACCTTAAGAGTATATTTCTTCATATATATATATATATATATATATATATATATATATATATATATATATGTCTCTAAAATGTGTGTGTATTATGACTGTGGACTATATATATATATATATATATATATATATATATATATATATATATATATATGAAGAAACGTTTATCAATTTAACGTTTCGCTTTTATTAAAGCATAATCAGAGAATGAGATATGGTGAAAAAAAAAGGAGGAGGTTGTTCGATTTTCATTGGTTAATCATGTTTTGACGTATATTCTACTTTTTAAATCTACGTTAGTATAATTTGTGGCAGAAAGAAAGAAAAAAGAAAGGAAGGAAATAAATAAATAAATAAATAAATAAAGAAAGAAAGAAAGAAGGACTGAAAGAAAGAAAACAAAGAAAGGCAAATTGCTAAATATAGAAAGAAAGAATATAAAGAAAGAAAAAGTGAAAGGGTAGAACAAAGATGAAAGAAAGAGAAGGAAAGTAACAATGGCTAATAAGAAGATGGACGAAAGAGAGAAAGAAATGGCAAGAGGAAGAAAGAAGAAAACCAGTAAAAACTTGTTAATGAAAAGTAGGAAGAGATATGATATGAAAAAAGCAAAAGAGAGAAAGGAAGAATTATTCATAAAATGTGGAAAGAAAGAAAAGGCGATGTGGTGAGTGTGCAAATCAAACGAAACTCCATCTTGCCAACTCACCATTCTTCCTCTTTTTTCTCTCCGGATGCATATTCTTCTATGACTGACTTTCTATTATGCAAATGGTTTTCTCTTCTCTGACCTATTGCTCTTAGTGTTTGTTTATTCGACTCGATTTGAAAGGTTTGCTGCATTTGCTTGCCACCCCACCTCTACTTGCCCCCAATCACTTTGACCCTTTCTCCCGACCCACAATACAACACACACCCGATTCGACGTTCAACACCTCCCCACAACAACTTCGTTCAAAAATAATGCTCTCGTTTTTCGACTTAAACGGAACACGAATGCAACTCGTATGTCGACAGCAGTAAAAGGGCAGAAAATGTACGGCCATTTCAATAGAAATATCTTTCGGGAATTTTTTTCAGAAATATTTCTCTTTTATTTATTTATTTATTTATTGAGTTATAGATTTTGAGGGTTTGCCACGCACTTGTCAAGAGGTAAGTTAGAACGGATAATTAATAATTTTCAATTGTACCTGTATTTCCTACAATCTATCTATCTATCTATCTATCTATCTAAATATCTATCTATCTATCTATCATATATCCTTTTCATATCCTATCTATCTATCTATCAACATATCTATCTATCTATCTATCTATATCAGTCCTTTTCATATCTATCTATCTATATCTATCTATCTATCTATCTATCTATATCAGTCCTTTTCATATCTATCTATCTATCTATCTATCTATCTATCTATCTATCTATATCAGTCCTTTTCATATCTATCTATCTATCTATCTATCTATCTATCTATCTATCTATCTATCTATCCTTTCATATCTATCTATCTATCTATCTATCTATCTATCCATCTATCTATCTATATCAGTCACATCATATCTATATCTATCCTTTTCTATCTATCTATCTATCTATCTAGTATCTATCTATCTATATATATCAGTCCTTTTCATATCCTATCTATCTATCTATCTTTTCTATCTATCTATCTATATCTATCTATCTATCTATATATCATCCTTTTCATAT